CGCGGACCGCAGGCAGGCAGGCGCTCAATGAAGTGCATAGACACTACATTGACCACCAGTTGCGATAGCCTAGGAGCAAGGTAGAGAGTGATTGCCCTGAGNAGTGCATAGACACTACATTGACCACCAGTTGCGATAGCCTAGGAGCAAGGTAGAGAGTGATTGCCCTGAGATACTCGAGGTCCTAGGTTTTCTTGGTCAAAGTATAAGTAGAATTCAGTAATATTAGTAGGATTATGGGTATATTAGGAGTTAGAGGTCTAGGGCCAGGCCTCGTCGGCATTCCGACAATCGCACCTGGTCCCCAGAGATGAGCTCTTCCTTTGTGGGGAATGAATTTATGACGCAGCAGTGAGCTCCTGCACCACAAATAGTTCGTATTCACCGTTTTACATCGAACCCCTGTTGTTTGACGCGGCACTAGGCCTGGTTGTTGGCAGCTGAGACGCGCGCCTGCAGTGGCAGACTTTTATACACATCACGCAGGACCTGAGGATGAAAGGAAAAGGCACAGGAGAGCCTGGCATGAAACTGCGCATACTGGCGTTCGGTAGTTACTCTTCTGATGCTGATGCTTCATGCGAGTAGCTGCGAAACCGCGCCGTCCGAGTTAGTATAGTGGCTAGTATTTCCGCCTGTCACGCGGAAGACCCGGGTTCAATTCCCGGACTCGNGAGTTAGTATAGTGGCTAGTATTTCCGCCTGTCACGCGGAAGACCCGGGTTCAATTCCCGGACTCGGAGTAGTTGTATTCGCATGCAACTTGCCTTCTGTATCGTCATAAACGATTTTTAGCCGACTGTTTATTCTATCTGAAGCGGGCTTGAGCATGCTTCCATGTGGGGATCTCCTGCAGCAAGAGTTGGAGCAGGGCACGCTGCAAATCGGGAACGGCCACTTCTTCTCCGCGCCAGTCCCGCATCAGCCTTTCTGCCGGTGAGCCCAGGGTGCCTTTCGGACAGAGGCTGCTGTGCCTTGCTGCACTATCGGTAACTCCAGACGCTTGAGAGTGGCATGTTCCAGCTGCGAAGCCCGACCCCAACAGACGGCCACCGCGGCATAGACCGTTAATTACTTCTCAGACCGTTCTTCCTTCAAAGGCTGTGTCAAAAGCCTTTAGCTTCTTTCGCTCTCTAATAGTGGATATTGACGAGAAGTTTCGTAGTGGCGGTGAGGCCAGCAACATGTTTGAGCACCCATGCAGTGGAGCGAGCACCGCACCAGCAACCCATCCAGCTTTTGACCGCAAAAGCAATCCATCACAGTTGCCTCTGCCGGTGTCAACCGTCCACAGATGACGGGGGAAATATGCTGGGGCAATGGAAGAGTTCTTCGATTCTTTAGAATTCTGCTTTCGTCCATGGGACAACGGCGCAACATGCCTGGCAGCAAGAGGGGCCGATTTGCCGAATGTAGAACAGACGGAAAGTTGATGAGGGGAAAAGGCAAACGGCAACTGCAGGTGCTGCTTCTACTTGCTGCTGCTGCTATCGACCACATCTCGCTCCGGCAGGCCTGTGCAGTGACGTGACCATTGGTGAGTGAGGAGACCTGCTCCTTGCACCTGGGCTAGGAGACGCGTCTTAGTGCGGGATTTCCAACCTACTTGAAATTTAGCGTTGAGGCGCCCTCCACGCATAGCTTCAAAGAAAGCTTCAGGCTGTTGACACACCCAGCCCCACAAGGGGTCCCCACATAAATATTAAAAGACAAAAGAATATTTTGCTGCTGGGCGTAGGTAGAGGGAAGGGCGCAGGCGGAGAACAGTTTGATGAACTACTGATACAGAAAACTCCTATTCAATCTATCAACTAGAAATTGTCTATGTAGCAATGTGTAGGTAGAACCCCTGTTCAACGTTTCCTTGATTCTGCCGCGGCCTGTTTGCAGTTTCACCCGCGGAAAAGCCTACAACATATCTGAGAGCATACATAGCCCGGAGGCGCTCCAGACAGGAAAGAGAACAACTCGACTGTAGACATTTTTTGTGTGCCTACCTTTCTAATAAAGAATGTGGCCAAAACGTATTGTATGTGGCAACTGTAGCTCTTCGCGTGCCGTCTGTTTTGTTGGGAGAAAGGGGACGACATGTGTAGCATGGTTTGTCTATGGGTAGTGTATGTGCTCCTGCCTGCTTGACGATCGGCTACTGAGAAATAAGTTAGCGCGTCAAACATTCGAAAGGCGTTTTTGCATGCATCAAAGGAGCGATGGGGAATGGCTGCCTGTTGGGTTCCCTTGCAGCAGGAGTTGCAGCAAAGAGTGACGAAGCTCATGGCAAGCCACACCGTGCCCTTACCAGCTCCAGGCTCATGGACTGTTGCGCCCAGAATGCCTGGCGACTCAAGGAAGTGTCAGCTTCTGTTGGGTTGGTTTTCTCTTGGGTGTTTTAACTGTACTGCAGCTCACCACGGTCGTCGCGATATATCGAAGGCTCTCGTTACCAGCAAACAGCGGCTAAACTCGTTTCTTTTTTCCCGGGGCCTCGGGGCAACGGCACAGGGGCGTTTGACTAGTGGCAAGAGGAAGCAGCCGCTCTTCCGTCGCAGCACTCTACTGCACTCAACCTGCAACAACCCGTGCAGGAAAGTAGCACCACATGAAAGCTCACCCAAACACACTTTGCCTTTTTCGGATGATTCACCACCACCATAACTACCCAGACGAATTATATTGAGGTTGTCATCGATTCCCCTCCCCCAAGCAGAACTTATCTTCTCACAT